TAAATTCAGTCTCAAGAAATTATCATAATGTCTGCTAGTTCATAGATGGATAATATAGTAATCTTGACCTTTTGAATTGAAAATTTATTAGTATATAGTTGACTCTCATTGATACATTAATTTAGAGTTTTATAAATTCAGTATCAATGATTCCTATATGGATAATGTAGTAATTTGACCTTTTGAATTTAAAAATTTATTGGTGGTTAGTTGACTGTCATTTTATACATTAATTTCAGAGTATTATAAATTCAGTCTCAATAAACTAACATAAGTGGCTGCTAGTCTGTAGATGAATAATATAATAATCTTAGCCTTGTAATATTGAGAAATACATCATCTATATTGAGATATATATTTAAATATATTTGAAAATTTATTGATAGTTAGTTGGTTCTCATTGGACACATTATTTAGACTATTACAAATTTAATCTCATAAGTTATCATAACTGTCCGCTAGTTTTCAGGTGGATAATATAATAGTCTTTATCTTATGATATCGAGAAATATATCATTTATATTGACTTATATATTTAGATATATTTAAAAATTTATTAGTTATTAATCGACTCTCATTTGACATATTGATTTTATTCTATTACATATTCAATTTATAAAAAGTGACAAAATTGATTTGTAGCTTTAAAAACCACACTATTGCTTAGTCTATAAATTAATAAACCAAAAACTCAACATTACATTCAACACTTCAGGAATCTCATTACCACTCGTGATAAGATGGAAAGCATATGAGTATACGAATTCAATTAAGTCATGAAATAAAGTCAAATTCTTTCTTTCTTTTTTTTCCCTTCACCTACAAAGGGAAAAAAATGGCCTATTACTCGTATTTAAGTCAATGTCTCCAAATGAAGGTAGATGTAAAACTCTTTATGTAAACGAATTGACTTATCCCGTAAAATGTGAATACATTGCTTCAAAGGGTCATGCAAGAATTTTCTTTCCTATAGATATATTACATATTGATATCTTATTTTCTATAAAGAAGAGTCCTAATATCATCAATCATAATCATATATTATGTACAAAATTCTATACGAACAAAATTAGTGTAACCATATTAATAGAAGTGTCTAACTACATTTTTATCTTCAATTTAAATTTTTTAAGGTTAACAAAGGCTTTGGTTTCTCATATTAGCCAAATAATTAGAGGAAATTATCCTAATTAACAATAAATGTCAAATTTATCGAATCCCAAATAAAAAATTTAAATGATCAAATTATAATAAAAAAAATATTAAATATCAAATTATAATAAATGTCAAATTTTAATGATTAATTCATTAATTTACTCTAAATTTTTTAAATAACTTCTAAAAAAATTGACTTTACAACAATAAAAATAGAGTATCGTATCAACTTCTTTACAAGAGAATTATTTTTATTGAATAAAATCATCATCAATTCCATCAAATTAATGTAAAAACATAATTATGTGATATAATAAGTGTATAAATAAATACCAATAGTTATGTTTGAGTCGGCCACTTCCCATCAAATTTTTCCTTCCATAGAACACAACGAGTGCACTTTCCTTCACTAAGCAAATCAAAGGCTTTGTTGATATCTTCGAATTTCATCTCACGTGTAATGAAATTTTCAAGTTCAAATTCCTAAAAGAATTACCAAAAATCATATCAACAAATAATTACATATGTTAGATAATTAATTGAATTGAAATCGAAGAAATTAGTACGTATAAAGTAGCATCATAAGACTATTCTAAAACATACGCTACATTTAGAATATAAAAGAATTTCTTAATATATATTTTTTTCTATACTGGTATATATTTATATATAAAGAAGACACCAAAATGTTTTCAATAAAAAAAAAAAGAAACTAAAACGTTACCTTATTCAAATAACGATTTAGAAGAATGTGAATATCGTATTTAACTTTGATACCTCCAAACAAAGACCTAATTAGTTTTTTTCCATCCCGTATAAGTTCGTAAAAGTTTAAGATCAATTGTGACCCCGATTTATCTACACCTACTACAATTGTCTTTCAACAATCTTGAATTACAAAAATTTTAAGATAATTATTAAAAATATTCTTACTATTAATAGTTAGAATATTTTTAAATCAATTTTTAGACGTTAAGATTAAATTTCTTTCAATTCTAATAAAATATATGTTATTTATATTTAAACTAGAAAATTTTCAATAAATATCTCATATAAATATGTTATTTTATACAAACACATATACTAACAAGCGTATTATGAACAAATCATATAATACCCAAAAATAAATAAATTTCAATAAATATCTCATATAAATATATTATTTTAAGCATATACATATACTTGCAAGTTTATCATGAACAAATCACAGAATACAAGGAAATAAACATCATGATATCACCAGCTAGTCATCCTGTAGAATTGAAAATTTATGGATTAGCAATTATGTAAAGTTAGTTTCATGCATTTAACTGTTGCCTCAGCATTATACAGTGTTTTACCTTCAAAGCTTTAACTATACATGCTTATAAACCTTACCATGACATGTATATGTAAGTTCGTGCCACCAATATGCATATAAAGTGCTGTATAAAATTTTGGGAAACGTATGTAATTTTCATATATAATCACAGTTATAGCCTAAAATATCATTGAAGTAAGAGTAATATAACACACCAGCAAATTCAGAGAAGTAAAAAAAACCTTTTTGCAGCAAGCATATGCTTCGTGCACCAAGGTAAAGCAGCAGTCTGCACCACGATCACCAGTCATATCCAAGATTACCTATTCAACCACATTAAACAAGCTAGTTAGTTCTTTAAACTTGTTTTTACCATTACAAAAATTTCTATCTTTTATGATGTATATGGATATAACTTTAATATTTATCATATAAAACCTCTTTCAGTGGCTTATCCCCACAATCTTTAGCATTCACAAATTCTGTAATCCCAAACTTTTTTCCTACATGGTTCAGAAATCAAACACATCAGCGTAGAAATCATAAAACCCATGTCGGCCATTACTTCTTGAAAACATTAACTCACCAATTTCGTGTTTTTCTGGATTCATATCAACGCCTGTAAACCTCGTAGCACCACGTAGTCGTGCTCCCTTTGCAACCTAGAAATTACCTCTCATAACGTAAAACTTTTTTTATCGTATCACATGCAAGTGTGGAATTTTGAAGAAATATATACATGAATTGTTTGTAATTGTTCAAAAAGAAAATTTTGCTAGACAATACCGCTAGTCCAATTGACCCGAGCCCGAATATAACCACAGTTGATCCCGCCTTCGCCTTTGCTGCTTTCCAAGCTGCACCTACCCCTATTATACATATATAAATTTAGTCGTAGTTTTTTGTTTACTTAAGCAGACTTTCAGAAGATGATAATATTAAATGTCAGTACCTCTTGAAACCCCACAACTGAAAAGATATGCTAAGCTTGGAGGAATTACATCTTCACTATCTGGGTTTTATCTGTTACAGTATATTCACTAAAAACTTGATACATTAAGGAAGTGAAACAAAGTCTCTCCTTTGAGGTCTGTAAACCTACAAGATTCATATCCAGGCATCCAAGGAGAAATTCTAAATGGGAATTTAAAGACAAACATTGTTTTTCTTTAATATGCAGTTTTCACATCCTCCACAAGCAGATATGAATACTGGGATAACAGTATCTCCTTCAGCCACCTCATTTACATGGTCTCCAACACTGTCCACAACCCTACAACACATTTAATTCATAGTAAATTCAAGTACGTTGATGTTAGACTAATGGAGAAATAATATTAATAATGATATTGAAAATTCCAAGTTTATTTGAGAATACACGATGAACATAAGACAAGTACGAGTGCAAAATCTTATTATTTTAACTAATAATTTATACATCATTTAATTTGTTAAGAAAAAAATTATAGAAGACCGACGTAGAGAGTACCAAATTGAGGAACTTAAAAAGAGAAAACGCCTAAGGTGTTTTCTAAGACACTAAAGAACATTATAACAAAATTTTATGGTGGACCACGATAATGGAGGGTTCAAGGCAAATATCACACTTATCATCTCCCATTAACACTCATTTCTTGTCTCTAACATTAGATTTTTTAGTGAAGAGTTTTCTTTTTTTGAATGTTTAAATATCTACTATAATATAGTAATGTTAAAGTTGCTCGCCCGATAGCTTCGTGGCCCAGAATTCTTGGAAAGCAAGCAGGAGGAATCTTCAACCGGGTATCACACAGACAAGAAGCAAACGAACAAAAGCAACTCTTTTAAGTCCATAACAATACACTGTACATAATAGATATAAAATTATTCTTTTTCAAAGAAGAAGAAAAGAGAAAGAGATGGAAAGAGGACCGTCAACTTCCAAAAGGTAAGATCGGTGTGGCAGAGAGCGGTGCAGATGATCCGAATCCGGACCTCACGAGGACTTGGTGGAGCCACCACGATGTCCTCTATGACCAGAGGCTCCCTTGCTTCCCGACAAACCGCAGCTGCATGTAGTCGGAAAGCCAAAGTTTTGACCTTTTAAAATCAATAAACCTACGAGGCAACAAATTCAGACCAGACCATACCTTTGCATCGTATCGGCTTCCCTGATGTTTCCCTCGGGTCCATGATGAAAACCAGGTATACCGAAGCTGTTAATATATTATGTAGAGATGGATTTGATCAGCGTGAGTGGTGGAAGATAAACAAGATCGTCCCAGAATCTATAGATGCACGGTTTCTTTTCTAGTCAGAAGAGTCTGAGTGCATTGGGAATCAACCAATTATGGGTTTTTTGTTATTACCGAATACTATTTTCTTAATTCATACGTATATATCTGTTTGTAATAAATGCCTTCACATTAATCATCTTAATATAGTTGATTAATAAGTTGATATCGCGTTGTATAGATTACGCTACAGTTCCAGCTTTTCCCATACCTGGACTGAACCTAGACAACCTTTGTACAAGCAGTTAATACGGTGTAATCTAACCAGATAAATGCAAAGTAATTAAGGAATCAGAATACTGGCAATGCTGCGGATTATTTACCCAAATGAGCAGATTAAAGCATTTGTAGAAACCTATATTTGTTATAAATATATGATAATTTCTAAAATGGTAAATTTGGGTAATAAAATCATATAAGCACAATTAAGGGAAGTGCAAATGAGGAATCGATTCAAGATCTTATCAGAAAAAAGACTTCACAAGCTGATAACACCAAGAATATAACACAAGCTTAGATTCTTAAGTGTAGTTTCATAATTCTGCCTCCTTGACATTTTTAAAGCTAACTTTATAGCTCATTCTAGCCTTCATCAAGGTGTTAGACATAACCGTTCAATCAAAAATAACACGAATCCAAACAAAGGGTTCGAGGTAAATCAAGCTCGAGCCAATTAACGATTGTGTAGGGTACCGGACCGACAACATTCGGTCGATATTCTTTAGCACCTCAACTCAAGAAAATCGTTGTAAAAAAATAAATAAATAAAAGTTCTAAAATCAAACAAAAATGATATAAAAATATTATGCTGCAAGAATAAGCATAAATATATGTGATTTATTTTTTAATTTTTTTTCTTAATATAAATTCATACATTTTATTGAAATTAAAAATAATAAATTCTCCTGATAAGCACAAATAAAACATAATAGTTTAATATTTAAACTCATATCTTTATTAAGATATGTAGAAAGTAACAAATGGTTGATAAGAATAAATTTTTTATAATTTTTCATCCAAAAAAAAAAAACAAAAATTAATTAATATTATAACAAAGGCGCAACACGAAGATCTCGTCCAATGTGCTCAGAGAATCTCGCTCGCTGCAGGTGGAGAAGGTGAAGGTGAAGGTTTAAAAGCAATTGCTACGGAGACTTCTGTAATTGCCTCCTTCTCTTTTTGTAGGTTTCCATTAATACTGCAGCTCGGTGTCCGAAGATCATCTTCAGATTTGCTTTTGTAAGTTAACGAGCCACACAGTAGTACTCAGACTGCTTCAAATCTTAGTTATTAAGAATTTACTTGATTTTTTTCTTAAACAAGGACAAGATAAAATGGTTATTTTATTTGAATTAACAACGTTTATGGCAGTTGATCCATTTTGTAGGCATCCTCAAGTGGGCTGAAGCAAACAAAATCATAAGATTAATTTCTCGGGGGCTCGCGGATCGGCCCGGCCATCACCGATGCTTATTTTAGTACCATATCCGGATAAATATAAGCAGAGTAATGTTTGACAGCTTTGCTGTTTGGTGTACCATATATATATATATATATATATATATATGGACCCCCTCTCCACTCCCCTCTTACGCCCTCACCTGCTTTCAGTCGTTCTTGGCTTCTAGTAATATTCTTCGATTAATCTAGATTCATTTCCCGTCTTCTTTCGTCATGGATTCCGGCAATCTCTCAAGCAAAACCGCAGGCAAACCCATTCGATGTAAAGGTAAGTTCACCTTATCCCGTCGATTTATCTCAAAAATGCTCTCTCTCGTTTTTTACCTCTTGAATCCAGAGCCATGGAATTTGACCAAGTTTAATTTTCATTTCGCCGTGAACAAACTGTAGCCGCCGTTTGTCGCAAAGCAGGGGAGCCTCTGGTCATCGAGGAAATCATCGTGGCTCCGCCGAGTCCTCATGAGGTTCGCCTCCGGATCATCTGCACCACTCTCTGCCACAGCGATCTCACCTTTTGGAAACTGACGGTCTTCTCTCTCTCTTTTTATCTCTTCATTATTTCTTTATCTGTTTATATACGTGCATATATTACATATACATATATATATATATAGAGAGAGAGAGAGAGAGAGAATGAGTTGTATGATCTGGATTGAAGAGTTATTATTTTCTGCGGGATCCATGATTTGCAGGTTCCTCCTGCTTACTTTCCACGAATTCTGGGCCATGAAGCTATCGGGTAAAAGCCAGTCCCTTCCATTCTTCTTTTCCGCTACATGTGTTCTAAATTGTTAAAACGTATTCTCAAACAAAACTTGTTATTAAAAATTATTAATACTATTTAATTTACTTAATTATGTTCTATAATCAGTACTAAATTTTAAATAATTATCATAATTATTTAAATAATATTAAATACTTTGTAATTTTATAATCGTTGCAATTATTGGTAATATATTTATTTCGATTTAATGTGTTTATTTAATGAAAATATTAATTTTTTTTTTTTTAAAGCATTCCAAGTGATACACCTTGCAAGATATGAACAAAGAGGGCAAGATATTAATGTTAAAATTTATTTTCTACAACAATCTCGTTTTCATTAATGGATTTGCTGAAGAATCCCTCCAAGAATCGCCTGACGCCATTAAGATAAAGACCCATCTTGATTTTTTCTTTCAATTTAATGTAGTTCGTCTATCCTTTTCTCTCCCTCTCTCTCTCTCTCTCTCTCTCTCTCTCTCTCTCTCTCTCTATATATATATATATATATATATGACAGATCTGTTTACAGTATGAAATGACAAATTAAATATTAATTAAATTATTAAATAGTCCTGCATGCCTGCAGTATGCATATCTGTAGGATTTGAATCAAGGCAATTGTTATTTTTATCTTCTTCCTGGTGGAGTTTTCTTTTGTCTCGAGCTTACTGGTATACTCCCCAATAGATGTTGTAATTATGTTATAATTAGTGATATAATTGTTAGTGTTATTCTTCGTTACTTGAGGGTTAAATATGTTTCAGGGTTGTGGAGAGTGTGGGAGACAACGTAGATGAAGTGGCAGAGGGAGATACTGTCATTCCAATATTCATCTCTGATTGTGGAGAATGTGAAGATTGCACGTCAAAGAAAAGTAATCTTTGTTCTAAATTCCCTTTTGAAGTGTCTCCTTGGATGCCTAGATACGACTCCACTAGGTTTACAGATCTCGAAGGAGATGTTTTGTTTCACTTTCTCAATGTGTCGAGTTTTAGTGAGTATACTGTGGTAGACAAAACTCACGTCGTAAAGATTGATCCCACCATCCCTCCAAACAGAGCATGTCTTCTTAGTTGTGGAGTTTCTACTGGTAAACCATTAAGTTTATCATCTCTAAAAATTTTATATAATTTACTAGTAAGTACTGATAAATAAATATGTACATATACATATATATGTGTGTAAAATTTGAGATGATATAGGGGTTGGTGCGGCTCTGAGAACAGCAGATGTTGAGGCAGGATCAACTGTTGTTATTTTTGGATTAGGGTCAATTGGATTAGCGGTATTGTATCGTACTAATTTCTTTCCAAAAATTCATATTCATCGTGATATATTGAAATGCTTTTTATGTTGTGAGAGAGTTTTTCAGGTTGCAGAAGGAGCACGTTTATCTGGTGCTACGAGAATAATAGGTGTTGATGTAAATCCAGAAAAATTTGAAACTGGTGACTTGACTTCGTTTTCTCTTTGTGACTTTTTTTTTTTCTTTGTTTTTTTTTTGGTCTTGATGATATCTACTGCTCAATTTTGCTGACATTCTTCATCTTTCACTTCCTGCAGGAAAAATATTTGGGGTTACAGAATTTATCAATGCTAGTGATTGTAGAGATAAGTCTGTGAAAGAGGTTTTTTCTCTACTGTTATATTGGCATTAAATTGTATGTCATTAAGTGATTAAAAAAAAAAAATTGTATGATTGAAAAGAATTTTTGGTTTTGGTTTGTTGACTTGAGTAGGTGATCATGGAGATGACTGGTGGTCAAGGTGCAGATTATTGCTTTGAATGTGTTGGCTTGGCATCTTTGGTACATGAAGCATTTGCTTGCTCCAGAAAGGTCTATCTAATGCATTCTTTGTGTGCATATGGGTATCATAAATAATGCTGGATTCATCTATCTTAGACATATTAGGATGCGGGTTGAATCAATTTACACGATGCATGTTATTAGAAGATGAATTTATAGTCGTGTAGCACTCCCGATCTTTTAAGATAAGATTGTGGAATACAAACAACTACGAGTAACTAACGTGAAATTAATTTTAATTACTTCCTTAAAAGATAAATTTTCTTAAGTCTAACTCGTGATATAATTAGTGTTTGCGTTGTGAAATGGGCAATTAAAATTCTCTTTGTGTCATAGTTGAGAGTTAGACTAGAAACATAAGAAAGAATGTAAAGGGAGAAAAAAACCAAAAGAGGTAATTGAAATTTCTCTTATCTTATTTTGATGATTAAAGAACAAATGAATAACAAATCCAACACGTGGTCTTAGGCCTTAGAGTCAAATCTTGCTTTCAATTCGGAATAGAGAGATACAATTGTAATTTTTTCAAATTAACAGGTATAATCTTAATTAGTCTTAAAATTCAAAGTAGTCAATAAAGTGTGTTTTCTCTTGTGAAATATTAAGAATAATTGTAATATTTGGGTGAGTTGTAAAATTTTCAACTATTGGATAATGATAATTGTCATGTAAGCATGTGGTATAACATGTTCAATTTTTTTTTTCTCTGTTTATCATTTTTTATTTTCTTTACATTACTGATCTTCTAGCTTATTCAACTTTCTATCCGATTGAATAGTTAATAAGATCATCGTATCTATATTTAAGTGTATATGTGATGTTTTAAGTAAAATAATGACAGTTGTTTATCATAAATTTTTATGATTCAGGGTTGGGGAAAGACAATTGTAGTGGGTGTGGATAAACCCGGGTCACAGTTAAGCTTAAGCTCTTATGATGTTCTTCATTATGGGAAAACCTTAACAGGATCTTTATTTGGAGGTCTTAAACCTAAATATGATATTCCTATTCTTCTAAACCGTTATGTAAATAAGGTAATTTTTTTTTTCAATTCTTGAGTTTTTTATTTATTTTTGTTTTCTCTCGTTGATAAAATAACATATCTTCATTAACTAACAAATTTAGATTTATTCAGTATACAAAGATATTCTATTTTTTTCCTTTACACTACACATATGTTTATACATAAAAGTATGTATGTTAGTATTTGAAGTTGACACTTAAAAAATAATAAAAATAATTTTTAAAAAATATAAAAAATAATATTACTAAAATTTACTATTATTTTTAATTTTTTTAAAGAATTGTCAGTTACAAAATCGACACTGCAATATGTATATAAACTTTAAACATTAAAAGATTTATTATGTACTAATTATAATATATATTATTAATATAGTGACAAATTATTTTTAATTTAAATTAAATAGTGAGAGTAATTAACTGAATGATACGTTGTGATGACGATTATCTATATAAATATGTATTAATTATATTTTGGTGGTTATTTTAGGAGTTACAACTTGACAAGTTCGTTACACACGAGATGAAATTTGAAGATATCAACAAAGCATTTGATTTGCTTATTGAAGGAAAGTGTATTCGATGTGTGCTTTGGATGGAGAAAAGTTGATAGAACTATTACAATTAGCACATGTTTAAGAGTTTGAAATAAACCACGTGGGTTTCACATGTTGAATTCTCTTTCTTGTTATAATTGACGACTTAAAATAATATGATAAATATCTTATTTGCCACATTTGGGGTACAAAAATTATCATCATAATATTTTCTTTATTCATTTTAATTAAGTATACAAATTTTTTTTTGTGTGTATTATTATCGAGTGATAAAATTATATATAGCAATTAAAAATGCTTATATGTAATTTTAGATAATCATTGCACGAATGGTTAATATTGAAAGTGAATATGAAGATCAAGTTGATACTGGTTACTAAAAGTTATTTGATGAGTAGAAATAACTTATCAGACTTCAAAATTAAATATATACTGTAAATATAAAATGAAACTAATCGAATGTAAATTTATATAATCTTTACATATTTAGTATCGACGTACGTGAAATAATAAGTATTTGAAAATTTATAAATATTGAACTATAGCAATTAAATAGAAAAAGTGTCGAAAAGAAAAAAAAAAAAAAGTAAAATTAGGAAAAAGGTTAAGATGATTATGAAAAAGGAAACTTATATTGTAATAATATAATCAAAGATCCTAAAATAATAATTTTTGATTAATTTCACATTATTGCATTATACAGTTAGTTTACCTAAACGTACACATTCTACTTTGACTTACTTTCTTACATAATTTTTTATAATTTTACTTTCAACGACTAGTTTAATCAAATAAAAAATTATAATTTTTAAAATAACAATTTTTATACAGCTATTTCTATTAAACACGTAATAATTTTTTATTAAAAGTGATTTTACTTAATAATTATTTTATCAACACTTTTATAACTCACAATTAAATATAAAATTATGCTAAACACACCTTAAGTTATATAAGGATATTAAAGTAATTAAATCTTAATCATTACAAAATACTATATATGGAGTTATTATCTTTAAAAGAAGAGGTTAAAAATTTGAGTCAGAAATTAAGTGAACTCTGTCAAAATAGATATTTATTTGTCTTGTATAAAAAAAAAATAATTAGTAAACAAACAACGATCATTCTAAATATTCGAAAAATATTTCAATCATCTAAAATTATAACTCATATTTAAAATGATTCATATATCTCGTGTTGTAATTTATATATAGTTTAAAAATATTATAAAATTAATAATTATTTATTGATTGATGGAATACTATAAGTGATATATGTTTATTACTATCGATTAATAGAATAATTATCATTAACTTTAAAATATTTTAAAGTTTTACTTTTTTAATTTTACGTCAAGTTATAATTTAAATTTTTGTAATTCATTCGTGGATAAGTGAAACACAAATTTTATAGTTGTAGAATCGAATGCAAAAGTGAAGTTAGTTTATTTATATATTAATGTAAATGTTATAATTAATTTTTTTCATATCAAATAATTAAAATTGAAAATTTAATGAGAATTAAATGAGTTGGGACCAAATATAAAGAAGGGAGAAGCACGACTTAGCGTCAAAACGACGTCGCTGCAGGGATTTCCTTCCTGCGAAAATAAAAAGAAGGGAAAAGCACGACTGGGCGTCAAAACGACGTCGCTGCAGGGATATGAAAAGAAGGGAGAAGCACGACTTAGCGTCAAAACGACGTCGCTGCAGGGATATGAAAAGAAGGGAGAAGCACGACTTAGCGTCAAAACGACGTCGCTGCAGAGATATGAAAAGAAGGGAGAAGCACGACTTAGCGTCAAAACGATGCCGCTGCAGGGATTTCCTTCCTGAGCAAATAACGCAAGGCATACTGCATCTAGATTCTTCTCCGGCATTGTAGAATACATATCACAAAACAGCTACTTGATCCGCTCGAACCCTGCGCGAATCCAAGCAGACCTATTTACACGCTCCGTACACTCTTTTTCCATATATTTTCTTTACCATTTTTCACTGTGCAGCGATCAAATCGAAGGTCGAAGCCGCTCTGTGCCTTAAATCTTCTCTCTGCGATTCCAGGTTTTTGCACCGGAAGCTTTCGTTTCTTTTGTATTTTCCATTTAACTGGTTATCAATCATGCCTAAAAGCCCAAATGAAACTTGTTTTCCTTTTCTTTTTGTTGATCAGTATCGTGTATCTGAATTTGTTACCCTTTGACTAAGAGTTGTCAATCTTGATTCTGGACCTTGTTTGATTATTTAAGCCTTCTAATCGGAGGATAAATCTGTTTTTTTTTTCTCATGAATAGAAGATCAGTATTGGGTATTATTTTATTAGGGTGCGTGTTAGTGTTTTCCCTGATTAGCAGCCGTTTGGTTCCCTTTGAAGTTGTTGGGATGGGCGTTAGTGTCCATTTCTACATTTGATTTTGTACATTACATGTGGTGATTTGGCGCTCACATTTTTTGGTTTTGTTTATATATGCACTTTTGGGGAAAAAGAAGAAAGGAAATCCCCAAGATCAGGGGCTCTCTGAACAATGAATAACATTTGAACAGGAGATTTGGCTGTGGGGATAGAGGCATTTGTTCAATCAAACTAGAAGCAGTCTGCAACCTTAGTTACTTTCGTGAAAATGGTACTTGTGGGGATGTCTTTTGAGGAAAATGAAAGTTTTAATGCTGATGTATTGGCTTTCAGCTGATTCCATGTTTTGATAATATAATGCAAGATTATTTCTTTCTGGAATCATGGTTTTCTTTTGGGGGGACCGGTTTGGGGGGAAAGAGAATGAGAAGAGAGGGGGGGGGGGGGGGGGTTTGGATGCATACTGTTTAAAGTGGGTAAGACAAGCTACATGTAGTAGAATGATAATTTGATGGTTTAAATCATAAGATTTACAATCTTTACAGCCTCTCTTATTTGGCTGTAGTTTGACCTTGTTTGTTCATGAAAAAGTTTTGACTTTCCTTCAGAAAAATTGCTCTTACATTTGATAGGTAAATAAATTTTCAGGTGGAAGCATTGCATTATTTAAACACCATTTTTCATTTTCTCCAATCTTTATCTAAATGGAATTTTGTCTGGTCATATAGCTTATGTTATATGTAAAACATGTGTTCAAATTGAAAATGAAAATAGTGTTAAAAAAATCATGATAAAAATGTAGAAAGAGTTTGAAAAGAACCCAAAGATTTTGATCCTTTCCGAAAATTCTTTTTATTTATACTTGAATACTACTTACACTCACCAGTATATGTTTTTATTATGGATGTATATGTGTTTGGAGAATAAAAAAGAGAAAATAATTTCATATACCAAAAAAGCCTGTTAGTAACTGGAATATTTCTTATCTCATATACAAGCATATGGAAGTAACTTTTAATTCAAATTAGATATATGGTGTTTACCCCCCTTTTGTCCTAACATACTCGTTGCTAACATATGTATCTGAGCAGTTTCTATTACTTTGATCTTGTTCTTTGTTTCTAGGTTTTGGTGTCATTAAAACATCATGGGGGACACGTGCCATGATGAAGGTTCTAGCAGCTGCAATCGTTCTGGAGAGAGTTCCAATTCAGTTGTTGAGCTCAATATCAAGACTCTGGATTCACAGATTTATAGCTTTCAAGTAGAAAAAAATGTAAGCAGTAATATTCTGTAATAATATTTGTTATTTGCTTTTGGTCACTCTATTAATCCATTTCCTTGTTCATTTATTTTTTTTATTCACTGATATTTGCATTTCATTTATATGTCATTGTTGATTTATGTGGTAACAATGAGAGATCAGCAATGGTGGATTCAACAAATTGTTTTAAGCTGAGCCATTGGTGCAGTTTCATGTGGAATTTAAAAAAAATCTCTACTGTTTTGGCTGAAAATTGTGCTAACCTGATTATATCTGATATTTTTTGGTATTCAAAATAATTGCAGATTCCAGTTTCATTGTTCAAGGAGAAAATAGCCAGCAAAATTGGCATCCCAGTCAGTCAACAGCGGCTGATTTTCCGCGGAAAGGTCTTAAAGGATGATCAGCCACTTTCTGAATACCGTATCCTATCTTTCTACTAATTAGGACTTTAGTGATTTTGCATTTTGTTTATCTGTACTAGTTACTGTTTAGAAACGGTAATCTAAATGTTACTATTTGTGTTTTGCACTAAAGAATGTGATATTGGTTAGAGAAAACATATAATATGGCATAATATCGGTGATCTATGGCTATTATCTGAAACATAGTATTGGCTGTAAGAGTGTCACATACTTGAAACTCTTCAGTTTGTCATTCCCCAGACATCTATTTGCAGTTTGATATGCATTTATTCATGCAGGCAAACTTGGTTGGCCCATGAAAATTTAAAAGAAAACACAAGGCATGGTAGGACCCATTGACATGACTCCTTTGCAAGTTTTGCTGTGAAGAATTTTGTAGTATCAGTAAATAGCTCTTATCTAAAAGAGTGTGTTACTTATACCTGTCCCATATTAGTAAATTGAATATTAAATCTTAAATATTTGAATCATTGGCTGGACTGAATTGGCTGCCTTAATCTGGTTTCTTTTGGTGGATATGCAGCTCATTCCATAGAAAATGACCTAGTTATTTTTCTCTTGTCCATTTCTTGTTTCGTGGTGACTTGTCATATGTCCTGTTTCTATATTTTATTTTTATGCCGCAAAACTCTTAACCATCTATAGATGTGGAGAGTGGGCATACATTGCATTTAGTTGAGAGGCAGCCAAGTCAATCGCAGCCTTCACCCAACACAGGCTCTGGAGAAAATGGGAGTAACGGCAATCGAGGTTGGTTCTTAATATAGATTGCCTATGTAGTGTTTCAAGTTCTGAACATATTTTGAGAAGTAACATTTATTACTCCTAAAGGGACCAAGTATTGATTTTTTTAAAAAAAATTAGCAGGAAATGATAATGCTACTGGTGCTGTTCGTAATCGTGTTGGGCAAATTTCACACAGCGTTGTTCTCGGCACATTTAATGTTGGGGACCAAGGTGAAGGAATTGTTCCAGATGTTACAAGGGTGGGTCATTCACTCTTTATGTCATGGTTCTCGTGAGCTTTATCTTTTGTACTATTTTTGGTTCTAATTCTGCTTGTGGATGATGATGGAAACTGAAAAAATGTATGTAATGTAAAATTCTTCATGTTTTGCATGCATGGCTTGCACAGGTTATTGGGGCTGTTTTAAATTCTTTTGGAATTGGCGCCCAACCAACCACAAATATTACCCAAGCCCCATCTTTGGTAAGTGTTTCTCTTTTTTTCTTCCTCTTGTATTTTTTTCGTCCTCAATGTTCACATAGCAGAACATTTGATTTTATATGCTGTGTGAATTTATTGTAAGGGTCTTCTTATGCAAGTCTATACTTCAGTGTAGGATCAATAAAAGATAATCTGATTACTTAAGGATTTAGGATATACCTAGAAGCTATGCCTAATAATTTTTTGGATATCTCAAATAAGAAAGGAATTCGCATTTGATTGCATCACACAACTATTAAATTTTTTTAGCAAACTTATAAATCATTATTCCCGAATGTCGGATCTCAAAGGTGAGATAGCTTCTTATAATATTCTCTCTCTCTCTCTCTCTCTTAC